TCAGGTTCTTCCAAATTTGTACAATAGAAATGGTGAGAGATGATCGCGTAAGAATCAAAATCATCCCTTCCATTTTTATGACGCACAATAAATTTGAAATACCCTATAGAAATCTTTGACTGAGAGGTAAATATTTTTTTGTTTAAAACTTTAAGCAAAATATATTATAATGATTTAGAATAAATTAATTTAGTATAGTTTTGATTAATACTCAATGCTATTTCAATTATATGTGACATTTAAACATACTTGATAATAATAAAAAAAGTCATAGCATTGTATTTTATTTATAAATACTAGTCATATTAATTACTCACTACTCGTGGAGGATTCGCAGGTGTACACTGTACATAGAGGCTATCAGGAAGCATTAGATTGGTTAGATAATTTTACCTCCCTCTTCAAGCAAATGGTTTTTTAACGTTTATTTGCTAATCAATAATAATTATATTTGCTTAGTAGCTTATAATTACTCATAAAGTTACTATTATTGCAGTTGATTTATTTATTTATATGACTTATATGACTGCATACCTATATTATTATTATGAATTATTATTATTGTTTGTTGTAAATTATTTATCGTCCTGTATACCAATACAATGCCATAATATGCGGTATAAAATTCCTCATTAACTTACATATCACAAAATATTACATTGCATTTCTCAGACTTATCCTATCAATGATTGTTAACCAGGCATGATTTTGATATTTTATACAAATAATGCCAACCTATTTAACCTGGAGTCTAAATTCACTTCTGTTCAAACGTTCTGCTTGTTACATACTCACATTATTGCTATTATGATCATAGTATCTATGGTTGTATAATATAATATGTTGTGAATACATTTAGAAAACTATACGTTTATTTTTTCAGAAATAAAACTGGCATTTGCGCATAAATAGGGTGGCGTGCCCTATGGATGTGCAGTATACGTCTCACTAACCCAAAACATTAAATTTAATAACAGGTCAATTCACTCTAATTTTAAAAATAACAAAGTAAAATGGATTATGTTTAACGTACAATAGGTCATGCGTTAGAAAGCGGAGATACCGCATGTGGATTACAATGTTCTATTATATGTTAGTGTTCTTTGATATAGGTAAAAGGTTACATTTTTTTATTCATCGTCATTCATCAAAACATTAAAATATTTGAACATCAACTAATACGGACTAGTGTATTTGTTACATTATAAAAATACCTATTTATGGATGTATTACAATCATTTTTCACGAACGCAAAAACAAACTCAAAAGAGGAATCCTTTGAATCAAAAAAAATATTAGGAATGACCCTATGTCATCACTGAGCCTATATCATAAGAGAGCTTGACAAGAAAATACACACTTACAGCTAGCGTCCCTAAATATTCAGGAGAGACTAGAGAGATCCAATCTGTCTAATTCCGTTTATTTTACCCTTCCAATAGGTCCTTTTCTCACAAAAAACTAAATTTAATTTACAGATTATACAGATACGAAACTGGTTACCGTAAGTTGCCTTTCTTTTTACTAAGGTGTGTATCAGGAATGGTGGTGTGTGACGAGTGGTTCCGTATTATTTTTAAAATAAGCTTGATACCTATACCTATACTTTTATTTTACTAGGTATCAATTATCTAATAAAATATTAACTATTATTATAGAATTTTAACATATTATTTAAGAACCAAGGTGACTTCAGTTTATTATAAACATTATATCTAGACTCAAACATTCATTAACATGATAAAATGTATTAATTTGATTAACTTTCTGATAGTTCAGTTATTTATTCTACTACACGAACATTACTACGAAATAATAAGTGTTTTAAATTATCCAAAGCATAGGTACGCATAATACAAGTGTGTATTAAATTAAAAGGAATTTAGAAGCTGAGTTATTTTACTCCTTGAAAATTAATAATTTACTTCTAAAGTATTTTATCAATGTTAATAGTACTTAAATAGTTCCTAAGTTATTAAGTACTTTTCTATAAAAACTTGCGATTTTCATAACTAAACTTATGATCATTTGAGGAAATGATAACATCACATATTTAATAGAGGGCCATAGAATAGCCAACATCAGTTAAGTTTAGTATTAAATATATAATATAATATATTATTACAAATTTTGTATTACCTACCTTTTATTTTGATGCTTATATAATGATACCTAGCCCTGTGACATATAAAATGGGCTTTCACAATTTACATATTGAACGGTTTTTCTTGTGAAATAAATTGCTCTGTCGAGCCAATATTGGGAGCACATATAGATGTAAACAAATTAGGGATCACGTATTTTTTTTCAATCATGTCACGTATTCATTTCGACCAGCAACATAAAAATTAAAGGTAGTTATATAACGTGAGAAGAAATAGATTATTTTAATATTTACAATTAGGAATGAATAAGAACTGAGTAATAATTTGTGTGACAAAATCAAATTTTGAAAAAAAAAATTGTTTTGTACTTATAGCATTATAATAGATATTTATAATATAAGAAATGTAATAGGTATCTATTATTTATGATAATCATTTCGTGTAGAAATGTATAGTGTATTTATAGTATGTTATTATAGTAATCAACAACTCGAGTACCTATAGAGGTTTTCCTGTATGTAATAAATAAAGGAAAATAATAAAAAGCAAAATAGGGACATAGATCCGGTGTCGTTACGGTTGGATATTCATAGTTTTGTCTACAGTCATATTGGTGCATAATAATGGTGTTTTGGAATATTAAATTTAAAATCAAAAATAAATTATCGCATTTAAAAACGGTTCTAAGTTTTCTTTGAAATTCTTCCTCGGTTGTTGAATACAAAAAAAAATACTTTTATTATAGGAAAAAACTTTTAAAAACAAATATTTATAACGTTTTTAAAAATATTTCCATGTATTTAACAGTTAATATATGTCAACTATTGATTTTGATTACACAATAATCATAATTGTTAAAAAAAAACTTTTATAAGGTAATGTATTGGTATATAAATTAGGGCTATTGATACTTCAATAAAATTTATTGCAGTAAAAAATTATTTCACACACACCTAAATCCGTTCATGCATCGACACTCATATTCTCATATACAATTATAGATATTAAAACTGTGATAATTGTGGCTGTATGTAATGATACTGAGTGCTGACCTGGTAATCAACTGTTTTTAACTGAACAACTATTTTCCGCTTACCTACCTATTGATTAATCTCACAATATTATTATAGTGAAATATTATGAACTTGACGTTTATAATATATACCTAATAATTACCAACCTAAATAATATATATATATATTGCAGTCTACAGGTATTATAGTCATTCTTAAAACAATGATTTCCTAAACTTTGACACCTTGAAACTTTGAAACTTAAGGAGCAGTTTTGCGTTATAAATGCTTAAAGTTTAATTATTAAATTATACTGTTAAAACATATGTCATTTTAGATTAAGTTCGATAACACAGCTTGTATTTGTGGTTATGTTTGTGCAAAAAGTTGTAGGTACGTATAATATTAAAATTACAATATGCAAAAGAATTCTAAAAGAACCATTCATATGGATCTGATAATATTAACGATAACATTAACAAACTAATTTTCTGTCAACAAGAGAAAATGTAATTCAAAGCACACGTTAGTGATTTTATCATTCTACGTGTATGCAATAGCTAGGCATTTCAATGTAAAATGTGATCAGAATTTAAATTTGAACATTTCAGTCCATTTAGGTAAAGTGTAAATACACGATTTCAATTATAACCAAAATGTTTTATATGTAAAAATGAATAAAAATAGAAAGCAAATAATTTAACAATGTTAAAAAAATATATTATTAGTATTTAGTTCTGATCTACATGGTGCGGAGTTGGTATTATTATAATCATATTACTATATTTTGTAAGACCATACTATATATGATTTAAAAATGACACTCTGAATATAATTCGTATTAATATAGTAGAAGGAAATTTCAACTTTGAAGGTTTTAGATAAAAATTGTAAGATTACATATAAGATATAATATTATTTTAAATATCATTATAGTGGGTATTAACATTTTAAAACAAATAATATCAAACAGTTTAATTGTAATTTAAATTGAAGATAACATTATAATGACATTAGTATTGAAACGAAACAAGAACATGATATAAAAAAATTTAATATCATACTATCTTCTACCCATAAATTATATGCTTAAACCAAAATTATGCAAATTACAAAAGTTAAAGTGCGAAAAAACATGCTAATTACATGATAAATATTTGCCAAAAAAATGCTGAACATTCAAATAAAGGCGGGGCGGAGACATGTACAAAAAGAATTTCTTCAGCCCAAAAATGTGATAACAGATGATATTAATAATACTAAACCATAAATTATCTGTTATCAACATCAATACAAACACGATATTTTCATCAGTTGAATCGTATTTGAATTTTAATACGGCCACAAACATGATTTCCAGAAAAATAGCTCGATGCAACCATAATACAAGCAGTATACGTTGTTAATTCTAATTAAATTTCGCAAAGTTTCTGTCTTTTATTATAATATGACCATAATAATATTGCTTGTAAAGTGTTATGCCATTGTAACGCATCATATAATTTTCTGATGAACCAAAGTAATAAATAACGTAGAATATAGTCTTCTAGAATTTGTTGAGCTGAGTACAACTGTACAGTTGTTAGTGCGATATAGCATTGAATTGAGTAAACTTATTGATATTGTTCAATTGAATTACAACTTTTTCACCCGTCGAATCGCCAAATAACGCGTCGTTTAGAAGTTATTAGTTTTATTAGATAGATCAACGTTGGCTGCAGTCTCGACGGTGTTTTTGGTGTAAACACACAATGTTTACCGATGTTCCCTGTCGTGGTTTACGCGAATTAATGGAAACAAAACGATTGTCAATGTTTTAATCAATCGGAATTAAATTTTCTTTTGTAATAGCGGGTGATCACGATAAACTAAAAGCGTTTAAATGTGTATCGGTCGAATCAATACATTTTCGGATAAACGAATTTCCGATAAGATAAAGTCATCTCATTTGAGATCCCTACAATTAGAAACCTTGGATAGTGTAATGGATTCCACTATTACTAGTGATAAGCTCGATACAGTATTAAAATCAATTGATGATAGTAATAATATGAAACGTACTCAAAATAAGTTAATTCCTCCTGTCAATTCAATTCATATGATGAAAAGAAAAGAAATCATGACAAGAAGTTTATTTGTATTGAGTAGGGTGTTATATGCAGAAAGCAATTTTTGAATGAAATGAAATTGAAAATCTAGAGTCAAAGATATATTAGAAGCTCAACCTTCAGATATGGCAGTGTCTACTCCGGAAGATATTCCTTTCAGAATGAATACATCGTAATTTAATATTTTTTATGTACCTGAACATTTTTTCGCATAATATTATTATGCAGTCTATTATTGATGATATATTTCGTAAAACTGGTAGGTGCAGAAATTATTCATGTAAATTTACTTCACTTTGCCGAGGTTTTAAATCAGCTAGTGTTGACCCAACTGGAATACGTTACGTGACACTCACAATGCTTTCAATTTGTTGATAAATAAAAATAAATTACGTTACTGCGGATCGAATATAACTTCAACGAGACGTGTCTAAACCATATTGGCCGAGCTAATTTAAAGGAGCTCTGCCAGTGAAAATGATTTATATTATTTTAATAAGGTGTTAATAATGTATTACCTAATCATCTCAAAAAAAAAAAAAAGCATCAAGAATCGTTGCAAGCTTCAATAGTTTAAAGTTTTTCTACCAAAATATACGTGGGTATCAACAAAGGGCTGACTGTTTTTACACGCAATGTTGCTTTGTGCCGATTACGATGTTTTTGTTTTATCTGGACCTTGGTTACATAAAGAGATTAATGATAATAAACTCCAAATTATTCTTTTTTTTTCTCTGTGATAGAGGCAGTATAATCGGCACAACATCGGAGGCGGTGGCGTATTAATTGAGGTCAGAAGTCACTTAAATTATATACACTGTATAATACACTAAAATATACTACAAAATAATAATATTGAGCAATCGTTTGTTGAATTATAAAATATAGGTTCATTTATTTTATTAATCGGCGCTGTTTATATCCCACCTTATTCCAATACTAATGATTACAATATTTCTCGTACTGTCTTACTGATACCGTTAATAATTTATTTATCAAATATTGTAATAACTCTATAATTATTATATTTGGTGATTATAATCTTCCTGGATTACATTGGTCAGTTATTGACGATTAAATTGTACTGAACATACCTAATTTTACTAATTTAAAAACTAACTTATCAACAAATGTTTGGTATTTTAATATTTTTTCTTATCCCTCAGTTAAGTGTAAGTTTCAGCCTCGGTTAAGTTATATTACCTAAAAATATATATTACAAAAAATATATGACTGATACACAAAACTCTTCGATATCAAATCCTAAAAATGATGACATTTTTTAAAAGTAATGAAATAAATTAAATAATTCTATACCTTTACCGGGTTATACTTACTTCAATGGCATATATAAATCAGTTAATAAGTAACAAAATATGATATTTCTACTATTATACCTGATTAATTAATTTTTTTTTTCTTAATTGCTATTGATTTTCCAAATTAATTCGATATGATTACTCATAAATATAGACAGCCTCAAGACATGGATTCTGGGTATTTTCTTTTAAATTACAAACTTGTATTAATTGTTTCGCTATTATATCTATTTAATCGACCCTTATAATATTATACTAGTATCCTTTTTCGACTTTTTGAAAATTATGATTTATTACCTTTATAATTTATATCAAAGGGTGGTTATGTAATTAGAAAAAAATATATCGCATCAACCTTTTTACTTTATAAAATACAAAAATACTTTGATTCATTCGTATCTAAAACGATTTCACCGTTGATTTTATTGTCAGTGTGTGTCGGCCATCTTGGTTGTATAAGTATTAAAACAGTGGTCTCAAATCAATTGGTTTTCCAAAAATTCATATTAGATGCTTTTTAAACTGGCTACCAAGTCCAATGTACTTTACACAGTCTCTTATAAAGCTTTTGATAAGGTAAACAGTACTATACTTATATCTAAACTACATAACATTGGTATTCGTGACCCTTTACTATCTTGGATTTCGTCCTACATATCAAACAGGGAACAAATATAAAAATACAAACATTTCAAATCAGATGCACTTATTGTCCCATCTGGTGTGCCCTAACGTTGACATTTGGATCCTTTACTATTTTTTATTATTTATTAATGATCTACTTATACATATTTTACATGCAAGAATACTTCTTTTTGCTCATGTTTAGAAATTAATTCGACAAATAAATTTCTCCTAACGATGCGTATCTATTGCAAATGGATCTTGCCCGATTAGTGAATAAATAAATAAATTAACGACTTAAATATTGAAACACACAAAAAAATGCCCCTGTTTTTACCATTTATTTATTTATTTATTTATTTATTTTTCTTCAGTCTTATCATATCAACGAGAATTCTTCAATATGTGTTCATGATATCAGTGATGTAAGTGTAGTATTCAATTTTACTCATTATTTACTCATTAAGAACACGTCTTATTATGTACCATGAATTAACAAATTTGCTTTGATATTATTAGTCCTCATTATTTGGAACTAAAAATGCTTAAATAATTCTGGTGTTTGAAAAAAACCGTATTTACTTATTTATTTCTAACGAAATTAGAATACGATTCTGTGGTTTGGACTTTGGACACCATGCTTAAAATATCATACTTAATGTTTAGTTAATGTTCATTTCCTTCGCATTATTTCCTTCAAATTTAATTTTAACTCGTGTGCCACATTTTCCCTATCAGTCACTATTACATTTTGTAGACATTGTTGGTTCTTCAGCAGAAGGGAAAACAAATTATACAACATTTTTATTTCAATTTGTAAGTGGTTACATCTATTTTCCTGAACTATAAAAATTTGTTATGTCCCCCAGTGTATAACTAGGCCTACTACCATTTTTTTTCACAAAGATTAAATTATACCGCACCTCCTATCAATCGGATGATGTCATTAACTAATGAAACAGCAATACAATTAGGAGCCTGGTGTCGCTCGGTGGTTGGCCTCAGTCACTAACGTGTTCTGAGGTCATACATCGGCCGGCATCGCTAATTACCGAATGGGTGATCACGCGGGTTTTTAGTGACGAATAATACCCATTCACCAATATTATACCAACCGTAACCCCACTACAAAATGATAATGGCTATAGTTGACGATGCTTAACATCGATAATATAAAAAAAAAAATTTTTAATTTTTAATTTTACTTATTTCACTTATATTGAAGCTTTTAGTAATTATGTGAAACAATTTATCTAATTTCTAGTATTACTGTTAATAGTATTAGTATACTACTAAATGTAGGTATTGTAAATTGATATTTTTGATCCGTTGAAACAAATAAATAAATAAGTCAGTATAATATCAATTATTATGACGGTTGGACATTTTTAGTTGCCCATTTAGTTTAGTTGAGTACAATATTGTGTTACAATATTTGTCATTTATATTATTCTATTACCATTTACATTTGTTTTGCGGGAACGAACAGCAAACGACTTTGAAACAATCTCGGTAAAAATGTTAGAAACAAAAAATAATGGAATGTAGTTTTGAATTATTATATCTGAATTCTTGAAATATTAATATGGGGCAATATACGAATGATTCACGAAGAAGTTTTTAACATAATAATTACATTTTTTATCTGTCTACTGGTACAGACAGTGTCTGCCGTCTACGGAACGAAACTAACGGAAGCTGCATATATGCAACACACTTTGTTTGTGAAATGCACGGTATATGTGACTAAGTACAATGAGACGTAATTCTATTGTATGTTCATAATATAACATTATACACTAGTGGCTGTCAACACTAAGTCAATTTAATTTAAAAACAATAGTGTGCCATCACACTATTAACGAAATTAAACATAATGCGAGTAAACAAAATAATAATATTGTATTGACATTAAAATATTACCTCGATAAAACATCAGCTAGTAAACTTCCTAAACGAATAATTTTCTAATTATTCAAAAAGCAGCAAAGTGTCTCGACATCGCATCTGATAGTATTGTTATAATATATTTCACCGGCGTTTGTGTCTTACAATGTCAAACATAGAAATCCGAAATTAAATTATTTGTTTGTCTGCGAGCTACCAAATACTTTTCTTGTTCTTGATGTTTTTATTAGCGTGTTATCAAAACGTTAGCGACGTTTTATAGAAGTACTTCATAGTTGAGTAATGCAATGCTTTATTTATTACTCTCTCGTATTGCGATGTGATTTTTTATGTGTTTTAAATAATTCAAATTCGTCTTTAATAGCAGTACCTACTTTAACACCTAATTGACAAACACATTATTTAACTATTATTTTGGTAGGCTATAAATGATGATACTGTATTCAAACAACGAACTCCGATTGGGTAGATATGTTCAAATTGACTACAGCGCTACGATATCGACTTGCATGTTTGTATCGATATTGGTGTTAATAAAATATATGTATATTAAATATTAATTCATTTATTTTAGTATGTTACTATTTATATTATATATTGACAAGGTAACGATTGCGAAGAACTGCTTAATTTATTTTAATGAAGAAATCAAGTATACTATATATTACAGAATCGTCATTAAAATGTGAAAATATTAATTAAATATCCAAAACATTATTACTGAGTATTACTTTGGTGATAATCGAAGTACTAGAATTTTATTTTAATAAAGGAACATATAAATCGTTTGATGTAATAATATCGTGATTTTTTCAGAAGGAGTTGAATCAGTATGAAAAAACTGAAAAAAGTGTGTTCCACTTTTTTTTTTTATGTTAGAAGGGTCTTTGAAAGATAGCTACTATATTTTTAATATACATATAGTGTCGCAGTGACACTATATATTTTTTTTTTTTTTTAATTTATTTTAATATTTTCATTCACAAGTTCAATATAATATAATAATATGTAGAGGATTATTTTAAAACAAAATATTCAAAATACAATTTTATGTTTGAGGTGTACACTGCACAGTGTACATTCACGTTTCATATTTCACTTTACCGGGAAAAAAAATATCAGTTTTAATATTTTAATACACAATACACATGTATATTAGAAAACTGTAGTCCATATTATATTTACTGAGTTTTATTTTAATTCTAAACAATCAATTT